CTAAAGAAAAATATATCCTTATTTAAAAGCAGCATTACATTTAGAAATCTATCAATTTAGATAAAGCAAAAATAGTTGAAGTAGTTTTAACAGAAGAATAAAAAAGTAAAAAATTTCAGAACACTCTCTTTCATTTTTTTTTTTTATTTGACCAACAAACAGAAGTGTCTTTCAGTTGTACAACCTTATTTCTAAATACTGACATTCAGGAAGATAAAGCAAGGGACAAACCGTAATAACTGTGCACTTTTTCATGAAATTGAACACATGTCTATTTCAAAAGAATAACTGAAAATTATTCAAAAGAAATGCTTTCTAATAATTTAAATGACTGTTGTAACATCCCGCTCTGTTACAAATTACTTCAGAGAACAGGCTGTTGCAACCTCTACTCCTTCTGCTCAGCAGAAGAATGAGAGAAATGAAAATGAAATGAAAAAAAAATCACAAATCAAGGAAGAAGAGTTTTCTTTTTAGAGAGATTGTACCAGTCTGAATCACAGGATAAAAAATATCACTGAGAACTCCCAGCAAAAGGAAGGTGTTACAGTGGGAGGATGACAGAAGGTTCCTGAGAGCCCCAGCAGGCACAGGCTGACCCCAAAGCTCCTGCAGCCTTACCCAGGTAGGTGATGTTCTCAGCCAACTCACAGCCACTGACGTCTGGGAAGTAGCTCAGGGTGTCCGGGCTGTTGGCACCGAGCACGTAGGTTGGGATTGGAGCTGAGGGAGAGAACCCCGTGCACTCAGTGAGCTTTAACTGCAGCTCCCAGCCCACACTGCCCAGGAACCCCACCCAGCACCCTCTGGCAGCAGCAGCACAAGAAACCTTCCTGCAGAGTGAAGCTGGAGCTCCCACAGCTGCAGGAGGGGAACAACCCCTGCTCCACACACATCTCGTGTAAAATGAACCCCAAAGTTCACAGCCCTTCAGGCAGGGGTGCACAGCCCTTCAGGCAGGGGTGCACAGCCCTACAGGCAGGGGTGTTCCAGCCAGCGCCATCTTTCCCTCCTGTAGTATAACTGCTATAACAGCACAGTGCCCAGCCCCCAGCAGTGACACACGCACAGTGACACCGCCCTCCTCCCTTACCTTTCTTGGCCCCCGTGCGGTACTCGGCCCATTCTGCCTCGGAAGTCGAGCCAAAGAAATTCCCGACACACAAAAGCATCTAAAAACAGCAGATAAAGCAGGAGTTTATTTCACCACACACAGAACACACACACAAAGGCTTTGCTTGCGCCGCTTCAGCAGCATTTGGTTTGCTGAAGTGATCCCTCTGTGTTTTATCTGCGTTAAACGCAACATCAAGGGGTTTAAAAGTACAGGCAGCTGCTCTCCCGCCTTCTGTGCACAGATCACGGCTCCACACAATCGTTTGGTGCTGGACAGGGAGGGCTGGGGGGCTGCAAACCCTTTCTCACACCGAGCAGAAAGAGAAGCATTCTCTTAAGAGAAGCTGTCACGGAGGGACGGGACAGCAA